TCCATAGTAAATTTTATCTTCGGATGTAGCTTGTTCATAGTGGACAGCAATTTTTCGGCTTCTTTCAGGTTCTCCACGATCGTAAAAACATCGTCTACATATAGTCTGTAGGGTGTTGTGTGGTTCAATTCTGCGAGTACTTTTCGTTCCAGATGGCCCATAAATATGTCTGCAAAGGTTGGTTCGAGTGGACTAACCATTTCGACTCCGTCAATTTGTAGATAAAATTGGCCATTAAACAGAAATTGGACATTCTTATTGTACAGTTGTAGTTAGTTCCGTAGTAATTGGGAGGACAGGCGTGTGTCAGATGAATAAGCACAAATAATGTCTATTGTTTCATTCAACGGCACGTTGGTAAACAAGAACTCAACGTCCAAGGATACCATACATTTGTCATGTATATTAAGCTGCCTGATCTCGTCGATAAACTGGAAGCTATCTTTTAATGTGAAGTTGGAAAATCTTCGGCGAATTGGCTCTAATTCCTTTACTAGCCAATGCGCTAGTTTATGAAAGGGTGAGTTAGACATAGAAATGATGGGTCGTAAAGGAATACCGTTTTTGTGGGTTTTTAGTAATCCATAGAGTCGTGGGAAGTGGGAACCCCTGGGTTTTAGCGAAGAAGCAGTTTTGGTATCAATCAGATTACTACCCAACAGAAGCTTGATAGTCTTCCAAGCTGAATCTTCCAATGCCTTTGTTTCATCTTTGCCTTTCGAGTCTAGACGAAATTTGCTACAATCATTTAAGATGGCTTTCATTTTATTGGCATAATCCTTGCGATTTCTTCGCTTCCTTTCTTCCTTTCTTCGCTAAAACCCAGGGGTTCCCTTCTCACTCAAATCGGCCAGTATTTTCCGAAAAATCTAATATTTTGAATGGTTCGGCCAACTGATTGGTGATCAATACAACGAGAATTTTAGTTTCTTTTCCATTGAGGATCAGTGACAATAACGTTAGTAGAACAGACAGAAACTGAGAGCATAAAATGACTTTGTTAGACAGGCCTTCCGTCCGGGAAGACCAGTATGCAGGTGGTTTGTTTTACGTACAACTTGCAACCTAAGAGGTCCCATTAATCCAAAATTCTCAAACCAATGCTAAGCTAAAACTGCTTTCAATAAACTGATACAATACCCTCAAGTAACCAAATGATAACGGAAGATTTCAGCGGGACAAGAAAATACGCGGTATCTTTACGCACCTGAGGACGTGGACCTCATTCTTGAAGGCCTTCAACTGAGAAGGAGTTGGGTCGACCACGTTCAGTTCCTTGATCGCAACGTTTCCGTGCCAGTAACCCTTGAATACGGTCCCAAAGGATCCTGACCCGATACGTGGGCCCTTCTCGATCTCTTCAGCAGGGATCTCCCACTTTTCGCTTGAATCATGTCGCTACATTAGAGAGAAAACGCATGCCACCCTGAGAAAATCACGATCGTTAAACTAATAGTACTGCAGTCAAGGTGATCCCTGACACCCTGTGATTTGTAAAAGGGAAGCGCACAAGTAAGCTGACATCAAGGACTGGTAAAATTCTTTGATGTTTGACCCTACTCGGGTGGAGGCATCCGGGGGTCTTCAATCGATTTTAAAGCCGGCAAATGCAGTGAGTTGAAGAGTCTGTAAATTAAACTATAAAGGGTCGCCTACACAAACATTGGCAAACCATAATGTTTTAAACCGCTAAACGACTATAGTTCCTAGCGCAGTGGATAAAAAGTAATAGATAGCAAGGAATAAGAGTCCAGACTCCTAAATATTCATAAATAACGGAATAGTGACTCCTTGATAAAGATTATTCCATTGCTTAATGATGAACTATGTACCCTTCTGCTCCATTTGCTCGTTTCGGCTTTCAACTTCTATTTGTAGTTAACCATCTTCTGCAAAAAGGACCCAATTAATTCGCCTTTTTAGGCAATTAGGAGAATTGGGAGTAAGAACCAGTTTATAGTTATAAAAAAACGATCATGAAACTTATTGAGACATTTTCCAGGATGCACGGCCCTGGGATGTCTTGGAGTTCCTTACGGCCACTGGCAACGGACATCTTTTATATTTCATACTTATTTTACCTATTTGCTCGATCTATTTATTGGACATATAATTAATTGTTTTGGGGTGCCTGCAGTTCGAGTAGTTTCAAGGCCTGCAAAATCGCAAAGCATGTCTAAAAAAAGAAAAAATGCAACGTTTTATCTGAATAATGTTTTCGGCTGCTGTAGAAGCAAATTAACATTTCATCGCCATGCCACCACATTCCCAGTGTGCACTGAGCAACACTTCGCTCTTCCAGTCAGAAGTACTTTGTTTGTTTCCCTGCACAAGTGAGAAGCATTTGTAGCTAAATAATGAGTCCATTAGAGGTAATTCTTTGTAACTGATTCCATAACCCCCGTCTGAAAATCTGTAACCTACAAAGAATATTGCAACGAACAGGCTGTCCTTTCATTAATGTACTACTACCTACTAGGTGTGTCAGCAGACAGTGCCTGCTTACGATCGGCTTGTGCCGCGTAACTACGAGCGAAATTTGTTATCATTCGAATAAGCAAACGAGAAATGATTATCGACAAATAATACTAATCGTAATTAAGATTAAAATCGAGTTTGAAAAGCTAGTTGGTTGGGATAGTTCTTGATTTTGAACTATCTGCATTATTGGAAAGTTGGGTAAAAGAGTTGTCGCCAGCCTCTTAACAGACGGAACAACTTGGGAGGAGGTTAATGACGTTGGGGAGGCCAAGGATACGAACAAATAAACCTACTATCATCAATACGAGGCCCAATTACACATCGAATCGATGTATCAACGATATATAATCCTGCATGATGCCAATCGTTTTTAATTATGTACCTAACAATATTTTGGCTTTTGGGGCTCAAATTCAGGTGGCCAAAAAGCAGATTAGGCTATAGTGGTTCACATAAGACTGTCAGACGGAAGTTTCGGTAGTGTGTAGATTTCCTTAATAGTATGAATGTCATTTTAATATCAAAATAAATACAAGTAAGAGAACAGGAAATATTGCTTACAGGACGTGGCCTGGATTTAGACTCGTTATCAGGTCGAGAAGGTGGGAAGACATTTGTCCCCTTACTGTCGGTGCCGGTAGAAGATAGGTGAGGACTTCTGACATTGTCAGCTTGTGTGGGACTCGCATGCTGAAGGATAGGATGGGTTTTGAGGAAGTCAGTCACCTAACATTCATGTGAAAATTTTTAATTATTCACGATTGCTTTCAAGTGAACCATAAAATAAATTTTTGATGCCATATTTTAAGATATCTACCTGTATTCTAGAAGAAAAAGATGGTTTCCAACTTTCTTTATGTTGCCGGATGTTGTTCTCTCATATAGGGTGTCCTATTAGTCGAAACAGGTGGAAATATACAAGCGCCCAGTGCAATGAGTATGTGAATGGCAGGATGTGAAATAATCTCCTATTCTAATGACTTTATCTTTTCTTGAGTTCGCTTTGCGTCTTCCATTTACAAAACCAGACATTTTAGACGTTATCTTCCTTGTACACAATCCCATAGTTTGCCACAGACATCTGTATTGATGATCTTATCACGTTCCAGTAGCTCAAAATGAATGATACTTTTTCCACGTTTTGACACGTTGTTGTTCCTGGTTAAAAAATTGTTGCAGATGATGGAATGTTGTGTTCGAATCACAAGTGTAGGGTCATGTAGAACCTAAACTCGCTCTTTGAATGTTTGCCTAATTCTCTTGAGACGTTTGTTGATAGATGAGCATAGTACATAAACTTCTTCCGACAAATCTCCGGTGCTTTAACTTGGATCCGACTTAAGAGTCTCATTCAAAGGTGGTCATTAAGAGTGGGTTGTTTTACAAGACGAGGCTGATTGGACATGGTACAATCACAATCTAGAAATGTTAAGCCACAGTTCACATATACGAGCTACAAATGCTTCGGGATGCATTTCACGAATATTTTTCATTGCCCGTGTTGCAGTATTTTTCCTTCATAACTCATATAGCAAGCAATAGCGTAGGTCGTTTTCAAAGGCTTTTGTCCTGTATGGGGAATAACATAGTCAAATAGAAGAGACAATGATAGACAAAAGAAACATTTAATGTTTGAATTTTTTCAATTTTTAGCTAGAAAATCACTGCTTACAGTTCTATCACCCAATGACACATGACATGCCGAACAAGACTCAGATGGCAACGCACACGGAGCAACATTGGTTGACAACGGCTAGTAAACCAGAAATTGTCATTCCCTTTTTCCCTATCTTTGTAGGTAATGTATTTCTGCGTGTAATATATGCCACCCATTGAACGGCTGCTATTGGGGGCTCGAGAGAGAACCCCAAGGCACAGCAAGACGAGTGAGTTCCGTAACCAATTAGACGTAATCGTAATTAGGCGACAAACTCCTCCGACTTTGCTTTTGGCTCTACTGTGCGGATACAATGGCATAAATGGCTTAAAGCAAGCATACCTGAAGGGTCTTTTCCGGGAAAGGCTGGAGTTGAGGGACAAGGATATTAGAAACGTTTGGACTGGAAGAGGATCGTTCGCGCGTATTGGCGCTGAGCTGTGGAGGGGGTGCAAGTTGATTGTAGCCAAGCCGTACTAGTCCCGCATGAAGATCGTGGGAATAAATGTGAGCATTTTCTTCATCACAACGAACTATATTAGTTCCTACAAGTCGGACTACAGTTGGTGGTTGAGGTTGGACGTTTTGAACCCAATCAGAGCCCTGTTGACCCGGGCACGTCAGTCTAAAAAACGATAAAAGTAAATTTTATCCAGCGCAAGTATAGAAGAAGTTTGACTGCAAGTGTGCAAGTTAACGTTGTAAACATACAATCTGCACAAGTCCCATAAATGAATATCTGCTTGAGTTTCTTCATCGGGGAGCTTCTCCAGTCTGGAAATACAGCGTTGGTGGAAAACGTTGCCACAAACCTTGCACATAGAACCTAGCAAATTGCACAAGAGCCACATTAAATGACCTACCGTATATAACAAACTTAGAGCAAATAGAGCACTGCTGTTTTTCAAAGAACGTCTTCCTTTGCAATGCATGACGGGGTCTGCGTTTACCACTGAAGCAGTTAAATTCCACGACTATGTCTTCTTCGGTTAAGAAAACCTGTACAGCATCATCATCCCACGAAATTGGTCTCCTTCAAATGAAGTCAATGTTGGTAGTTATCACTTACCTCGAACATGCACCATAGACGGAGAGTTCGTTTGTGTGAAAACCACGGTTTGCGAGTTTCTTTTCCAGTACGTGACTTATCTTCTGTCCTGGACGAACTTCGACCATAGTAAATTGATTGTCAGGGAGATGAGCTCGCAGGCGAAACCTTGTCAGTTCATAGGGACTAAGAGGCTGGTGAGGTTGCGAGGTCAGGTCGGCGTTTGGCGAAGTGGCCTTAAGCACTTTGTTGTCTTCGCCCTCTGTGAACTGTTCGATCTTGAATCGGATTTCCTCTAACTCAGTAGTATATTTCTCGATTACAGCCTGAACAGAATTGATATCGTTCGAGACTTCATCGTACTCCCGAGTGATGAGGCCGGAGTAGTCTCTATTGTCATTGAGTAACTCGACAAGCTTGTCTGTTTTCTTTTGGAGAACTGTACTAATAAGTGCGAAGTTTTCAATCTGTCAAAATAGATACCGAAAAAGACATATTGCATTGAAACAATCCGAAAAACGTTCAAAAAATTTAGACAATCACCGGAAAGTGATGAAATTACTAAGGTAGGGAACATGTTAGTTAGGAAGGCTAGACCACAATAAAGATGATGCGAACAGACTGAGATCCCGAAGTCTTTCCTGTGTCAATCAGTAATATGAAGAAGTGAAATCAACGTTAGTCGCCAAAGGAGCTAGTATGCTAATTGCATCATGAGTTAGTGCATGGTATAAGCTACTTTACTAAGTTACACAAGGACTCAAACCACATTTTAACAAACAGTCCCCAAGGCATTTGTTTTAAAGAATAAACAGAAAACAATGATATTAATGAAACTGTACAAATACTAATTTGCTTGAAATATAACTCCTGAAAAGGAATAAGCATGGGAGGCCTTTATTTTCCTTCGCTTGTCTACGAAAAGGTCGTTATTTGGATCCGACAATAAACACCATAACTGCACTGCTAGAAAAGAAAGAATAAGGAGTCACATGGGATCTTCGATCTCCGTCAGTATCGTCCACAGAGTACCCGCGACCATAAGACTTTAACAGAACATGCAAACATCGAAGGACAAAGAGTAGTCTGTTGAACGTCTAACTGGTTGATTGTACAATCAATTAAACATAGGAATGTTCACTATTAAATTGAGAACTTCTGGGTCTGCAAAAGATTTCTAATGAACTTTGTGGATGTAGATATCACCACTGCGTCGCAAATCATCTGATAAAAATCTACGTACGTAATAACAAACACACACTTCAAAAGGATTCGGGTAAAAGGCTGGTTGAGTGCAATGACACTCGAACGTCCATTTATTCATGGGCGTCTTACATCTAAAACATGACCAGAGTCGGCTAGTTATGAACAGACTTCACCCAGGATGATGAAATCTTGCAAATTAAAAGTAAACTTCCAGGCAAAAAAAACAGAGTCCTTATAGTTTTGCAAATAAAAACCGAAAACGCCAACTAAACAAAAATCCCCTTACTTTGTGGGTTAACAGTTCGCAGCGTCGCTGGAGAACGCTTACAGCGCTATCTGGAACTTTCTTTTCCATCGAAGAAGGTGACTTGGCAAAATTAGCAAACCAATCAACGTAAATCGGCCTAACTACTTAGGCGTTGAACGCTTGATGATTCCAGCCTTAAAAACCAACAAGCACTCTGGACAACCATCAAAACCAACAGAAACCATATACTAGAATAGTATAAGAATAGAATAGAATAGAATAAGACAGCTTGACAAAGTGTTGCTAACTCAGGCAGTGCTTCATGCTCGACTCGGAATTCGTCAGCGGTCATTAAATTTCGAAATAGTAGGTATTCGAAGCGAACTGAGAAGGAAACTAAAGCAGGAGGAGGATACCTGTACTTTAGCCGTTTTATAAGCGAATGACCCCTACGGGTTTTGTCAGTTTAGGTAACAGGACCTTATATGGTGGAGTGGGTTTCATTACCAGAATGCGTAAGAAAAGAAACAGGTCGCTTTTAATAAACATGGAAATGGGCAGCATAGAATAAAAGAAGAGCCGGCTTGGAGAACATACATACCACAAACTGAAGGATGTAGGCCCTTCGCCTCACCCGTATGTTTTTGTTTGATTTAACACATTTTTTTGTTTAAACACAAGACGCTGTTTTCTTCGCCCTTCAACGACACCATTCTCTGCTGATCATTTCTGGGCTCAGGAGCATCTAACGGTGATGTGAAGTGAGATTTGTAGAGGCTATATCGCTACAAATATACTTAACGTCTTAGCAAATACGCAACGGAAAACTTTATAGGGTAGGCTAACCGCTAGTAAGGGGTTTACCAGGCTATTCTAGTGGAAAATTTGTAAAAACCGGT